TGGAAGATATGATATAGACTATTCAATAAATATTAAAATTATCCATGTGAGATAAGATAAAATTAGATAATATCTTCAAATCCTACCTAAGAATTAATTCAAAATGAATTAAAGATCTAAATGTTATTTTTTTAAGTTTATTCATTTAAGTAACCTCTACACCCCATGTGGGGCTCGAACTCATGACCCCGAGATCAGCAAAATTTTATAACATTTTGATGCAAATATAGAATACCTTTATGATCTTGGAGTAAGGAAGAATTTATTAATCACACATGCATACAAACTCACAAATTTTAATAGAGAAGACTGATAAATGTGACTGCTTTAAATATTAAAATGTCTATGGAAAACAAATGACACTATAAAGTTAAAAACAAGCCATACAGTGGGAGAAGACATTTGCCACACACAAAATTGAAAAAGAAACCGTATCCAAAAGATACATAATAAATACATTTTGAAAAGGCAACCAACCCAAAAGAAAAATGGGCAAAGAATACCAACAGGCAACAAACAGAAGGAACTAGAATGATCTACAAATGTATGAAAAGATGCTCAACCTCACTAGTATTCAAGAAAATACTTGTCAGATTGGCAAAAATTAAAACTCAAAAGTTACCAGTGGTATGGTGTCATGGGAACACGTAGACCACTGGGAGGACTATTGGTAAAAAAATTGGAAACAACCTAAATATCCATCAACTGGGGAATGAGTAAATTAAGTGTGTCATGGCTGTACTATTAGGTTGCTGTTCAGCAGTGAGATAACCTACATGGACTGATCTCAGGAAATAATGCTGAGAATGGGTTGACAGGAAGTGGGAGATAAAGGGAACTTCAACTTTTCCTTAAGTATTTTACTCTTTTTATTAAAAAAAAAAATTGGAAGACAGGGGCGCCTGGGTGGCTCAGTCGGTTAAACACCCGACTCTTGGTTTCCACTCAGGGCGAGATCTAAAGGTCAGTGGGATCGAGCCCCGCATCAGGCTCCACATTCAGTGTGGAGTCTGCTTAAAGATTCTCTCTCTCTCTCAAATAAATAAATAAACCTTTAAAAAACGGAAAACAAAATAAATATGGTAGTGTATTTCCACTCTGCATGACAAGAACACAATGCTTGCTACATTCTTCTCTGAACATTCCTATATTTTGAAAGTTCTAAGTGAAAGGTGTGGCATGAGATGCTTCTGATAAATACTCAGTTTAGGGAACCATTATATTAAGGTACTAGTAACTTTATATGTTAACCTTCCCAGGGACACTTTCATTTTTAAAGAAGGCTGCAGTGTTTAATCCAAAGCTTGAGGCACTGTGGGATTTGCTGTCACTTATGAACTGTGGGTTTTGGAGTTTTGAAGACAAAACTTCAAAGGGAGTTATCTTCCTCCCCTGTGCTAGTCTTGCAATTTGGGTAAGTTGCCACGGCTCTGAGCGAATGATAGGCTCCCGTTAAGTTGGACAGCTCAGAGAGAACAGAACATTTTCCCATTCAATGATGCTTTCATTCTTTATAAATACAGCTGCATTTGAAACAACTCCACATGGAATAAAATTTAGAGCCAAGTTTATAGAAACACGGACACCTATGTGCAAACAAACCCCCTCAAATTTTATCAAGCATGGATTCTACCCTGCTCGTCAACCTGGAGTAGACTGAACACAATTTAAATATTTCTTGGTTTGTCTGTGGAGTATCAAGTCTTGTCCAGAGCTCGGAGACTCCTACTCCCTTCACCCCGATCAACTCTGCCAGTTGTTTAAACGGCTCGAATCTTTCTGCAACCACGGCTTTTAAGTGAGAGTCTTTTTATTGCTTTGGGCATGTTCCTTCTCCTAGCCAGTGCTCAGAATTTTAACTATCTAACTATTCAATTTCTCTCTGTCTCTTTACATGGGGGAGAAACTGGATTTCTGTTCCACACAGCTTGGCAAAAGCTAGCAGGGAGTGAGAGATTACAGCCAGATGCACATCTGCATGTCAGCAGCAAGAAGGTCTGGGATGGTGCTTTTTCAATCAGAAGGGAGTCATTTTCCCCCTCTCGAAGGAGAGGGCCTCCTCCCTCCCATCAGATATTTGGCGGCTAGATGCTCACTGATTAATTACTGAGGTCGCATCTACACACAACTGGTTTTCTTAACAACAATCCTAGCAGGTTTCCAGTTCATTCCTGAATGTGCTTCTTATTTTTAAAAGAACTACCCTCCTTTCCCAAAGCATAGAAATAAAGCATAATTTTTAAAAAGATTTTATGTATTTATTTGAGAGAGAGAGTGAGAGAGAGAGCACGAGAGAGGGTAGGGGAGAGGGAGAAGCAGACTCCTTGCTGAGTGGGGAGCCCGACGCAGGGCTCGATCCCAGGACCCTGGGATCATGACCTGAGCCGCAGACAGATGCTTCATGGACTGGGCCACCCAGACGCCCCTAAAGCATAATTTTAAAACAAAGGATTCCACCACAGTTTCTAATAATAGAAAATCAAGCACCAGTGGGAGAGTGTTTTCAGGGAAAGGGAAACATTTTGAGTACCCTTCCAAACAGAACACCAAGCCAATCAGTTATTCTATTTGCACATCACATGATATATCATTCCTAATATTTTCTGGTCAAGTCCAGAAAGGTAAGGCAACATAGGCATCTTTCTCTGTACCCCAACGGCTCTCCATGTGCCTAAGAGAGAGAGCATATCAAGTTCATTACTAGTAAGTTCCTTTTTCTAGTTTGACTCATTACTGAGAATTTCCATCTGTTTTCCAAGACATCTGAGGTCCCCAATACAATCACTGCATTAAACCTAACCTGGAAACTGCCTCTGGGATCACTTTCTCATTTCTAAGGAGCTCAACATGCAATGCAGCCGGTGCTAGAAGTAGTTGATTGCAAGAAGTATAATTATGGGTTCTCCAAGACAAGCTAAATTTGCGAGAATGGGTTGACGGTCACCACTTTAATTAAGATCCCATCTCTGTATCAGGGAAAATACTGGAACCTCACAAATGAGCAGTAGCTCCGTGACATCAATGACAATCTGCTATGCAAAATTTGGGGGCAATCCAAATGAAAATGTGTGTACTACAGCTCTGAAAAGCTGCACCTACCCATCTCGCCTCCCCAAGTTCATCTCTCTCCTCTCCCAGAGAGCACACATCTTGTGGGAGAGGAGAGAGATGAACTTGGGGAGGCGAGATGGGTAGGTGCAGCTCCAGTTCTCAACTGCGATACAACTGACAGATGATATTCACGTGTGTCACATACTCCCATGGGTGTACTTGGGGACTACACAATTCTTGGCACGCCAGCTATTAATCGGGCCCTTTTCTCTAACTCTCATTAAAACATACTGAAACGCAAGCAGGCACAGAAGGATAACCTTGAATCCATTCCAACTTATAACTACAGTAAAGCAGTCAGCAATGTTGGTACAGTCACTCCTATCAGTAGCAAGTTATTTACATTAACACTTTACAGCCAATCACAATGGTTCCTCTTGTCATGTCAGTGACCTGCCATGCTCTCTCACGCCTCCGCACATGCTCTTCCCACTGCTCCAAAAGGTCTAAAACCCCACCGAAGAAGTCCACAAAACAAGTTTGTTGACTGACTGAGGGAATGAATGAATGAAGTGCTTGCGACCTCAGATAAGCCTCCCACCGCGTTTGTAACATTTGCACATTGGGCGGCAGCCACACATCGATGAAAAATAATATTCTGTTACGAATAGGAAAGTCAACTGTGATTATGGGCAATTTTCTTAACCAGAAAGCATTGAGTAGTAAGATGCTTTGCAGCTGTACATTTTTATTAAGGACCGTTTAAATAAACATAAAACATGTTTGCCAGGAGAGGGTAAAAAGACGGATGCAAATTTCAGTCCGAAAAATAGGTACATTCATTATTTTTTGCATTTGCCTTAAAATGTGCCCCTAAAACAGCAATTACCCTTGGATGTCATTTTTGACCAGCGACAGGGACCAGAAATAGTGACTTAATTTAGGCAGGAGTTTGCTAGGACATAATATGGCTACTGTGCCTGGAGTCTTTCTTGGTCATAAAAGCAGTAAGGAAGTATGACATAACGTTGTGATGGTAAATCACAGCCCAAGCCATTTTGGTTGGCAGAATTTGAAAGACAAACATTACTTCAGGAGCAGAGAAGACGTGCCTAATTACCTCCGTGCCTGGGCTGGGTTCCCTGCAGCTTGGGTCGTTCCTGGACTCAGGTGTGTCCACACGGCCAGGGGGAGTGGGGGGGAGAGTAGGCGCCTGGGGATGTGAGGACTGGCAGCCCCCCTCTGCAACCTCCTCTCCAGGGAAATCGGGCAGCTGAACCAAAGGAGAAGGCAGCCTCCAGGGGCCCTGTGGAGCCTAGAGGGAGTGAGACTGGGGAGAGAATACAGGCTGGTCCCAGCCACTCTGCCTGGGAAGTGGTGGGGAGCTGAGCCCATCATATTTATGAATCTGCCATTTTTACCTCGGGCCAGCCCAAACCACCTCCTCCTTCCCTCCTGAGGTTTCCCCATCTGGGCACAGCCAAGGCCCAAATGGGGCTGGGGACTCACCCACCCCAGGGGTAACCACTGTCTTGAGATGGAGCCTTCTTTCCTTGCTTGCTGCATTTTCAGAGCTCAGAAACCTCGATTCCTTTGTAGCTTTTATTTGACACTCACAGCCCCAGGCCCCCCTCCTTTCTTGCTTCTGTATTCTCTGTCTCTGTCTGTCTGTCTGTCTGTCTCTCTGTCCCTTTATGGAAATTGGCTGTCCTCTCATAGTAGAGTAGAATATAGCAGAATCCCAGCAAGGCTTTCCCTGGGGCATTCATCCCTTTGCCAGAGCTTTTGTTTTTCTCTCTCATTCCTCACATGTATACCCCAAATCCCAGTAATTCTCCACCTTTTTCTTTTTAATTGCAGCAATACACACAGAACATAAAATTGACATTTTTACAAAAAGATTTTATTTATTTATTTATTTGAGAGGGAGGGTGAGAGAGAGAGAGAGAAAGGAAAAGAGAGAGCTGAGAGTAAGGGAAAGAAGAGGGACAAGCAGACTCTGCAGAGCGCGGAATCCAATGCGCAGCTCGATGCAGGGCTCAATCTCAGGACCCCGAGATCATGACCTGAGCTGAAATCAAGAGTCAGATGCTTAACCGACTGAGCCGTCCAGGCGCCCCGACATTTTTTTTTAAAATCCAAAATGTGTTTATTGGGATAGTTTCCCACTCATCTTCATTTTGGGTGCTTTTAGTGCCGCTTCTGTGTGAAGGAGCATCCCTCTGTAAGCCTTGCTTTTCCTCCTGTGGGCTGCAAAGGGCAGAGGGACAGCCGGCAAACAACTACGGTTTGTGTGTGGCTAGAGACGGTAGTAACTTCGTAGGATCCCGGGCATTTCACGTCCATGAAGCAGGAGTTGAGTCTCTTCACCAGGCGCTTCTTGTTGTGCTTCCTCTTCTCCTCTTCCAGGGATGGGTGGAGAAGGTCCTTCGTGAGGGGCATATTCTTATGGGCAGGTCGTCACCACCAGAAAGGCCATAAAATTGACATTAACCATTTTTAAGTGTCCAGTTCAGGGGCATTAAGCCCATTCACACCGTTGTGTGCCATCTTTCTCCAGAATTCGTCTTCCCTGACTGAAACTACATATTAAACAACTCTCCTTTTGCCCCACCTCAAGCCCCTGGCAACCACCATTCTGTCGCCATGAATGTGACTACTCCAGGTCCCCCACGTAAATGGAATCGTATGGTATTTTTGTGTGTGTGTGACAGGCTGATTTCATTTAGCCTAACATCTTCAGGTGTCATCTGTCGTGTGTAGCAGGTGTCAGAATTCCCTCCCTTTTTAAGGCTGAGTAATACTCCACTGTATGGACATACCACCTTTTGCTTACATTGCTTCCACCTTCTAAACTTGCCTTTGAATTGTGGAAACATTAGGCATGAACACCCGAAGTGCTGAAGCTCTCCGGTGCCCCATCCTCTGCTCTCCAGAATCCTCGTCTCAGACCACCACAGCCCCCAGGTATTACTAGCACGCAGACCAGTTGCTAAGTGGTTGGCACACTCTCTTGTGCTTAATCTTCGCAACAGTGCAGTGAGGTGGGTGTTTCTCCCGTATAACAGAGTCTTCTACTGAGACGCAGAAAAGCTAAGCTACTTGCCTAAGGCCAAACAGTTAATATGCTTGTCTGACTGCAAAGCCTCTACTCAGAAGCACCACTCCCAGTGCCTACGCAAGGCCCAGAGGCCCTCTGCCACCAGTTCCTCCTGTTTGGTTTCAGATTGGGTTGGTTTGTAAGAAAAGTAGAGCTGACTCTATGCACTGACAGACCATTGACCACATGTGCCTGGAAGGGCCCTCTGGATCCTGAAAGCCTGGCCACCCCCCTCTTGCATGCACGTGCACACGCACGTACACACACACGCGCATGTACACACACACAAAGAGTTCTGAAATCATTCTACTCTGGGGGCTGTCAGGACTTCTCTATTGCTGTTTAAGCCAGGCAGCGAGCATTATTGAGATGCTGGGATTGGTTTTAACTTTGTTCATCAATTAGCCGAAAGAAGCCTGGCCTAGACTCGGGACTTGATTCGTGTTCTTGGATCTGCTACTCTTCCATAAGCTATTTGTTTCATTTCCTCTCCGGAGGCAATCTGCTCTTGAATGGATTGATTACAGAGGTGCCCAGCATTTGAAAATGCTAGAAGAATTAGGCTTGAGGCTGTTGGCAGATGCTTACCTGTTCGTGTAAGTGTGCCTTAGAAGCCCAAGTGACACCACTTTCTACCAAGGAAAAGAAGGGCTGAGGGGCTTTGTGGCTGAGACTGGGGGGGGGGGGAGTGTGGAGGGGTGCCCCATGGAGGTGAGAAAAAGCCTAGTGGGGCCGGGAACTTGCAAATAGAAAACACAAACTCAATTGCCTCAGTTCTGCTAGGAGCTGGCCAAGTCCACAGCTCTCTCTGATGCTACCCCAAAGGCTGGCCAGAGTGGTTCTGCACATGCCGGTACCCTGGGCAGCAGCAGGCCCAGCTGGGTAAACAGAAGTGCAGGAGCAAAACAAGCCAATAAATCATGGCACGGCTCTAGGCTGCCCCAGTCCCCTCCTCCCTCTTCCTTTCCAGCTCCCCCGGGTCTCCCTATCAAGCAAATGGGCCCAGGTGTCCTTTGATCTATCTCCTTGCCCTTCACAAGGGAGAAATGTATCCATAGGAAGGGTGAGCTCAGCCCCACCTGTGACCTGCCCCAGGGTTCCTTGCAGGGAGCTGTGAGCTTCACACATCCAGCTGCTAATGGCAAAAGAGAGAAGCAGACATGGGGTGTTTGAGAAGTTTAAGGTTGGCCTATGGTTAGAGGGGCCCTGGGTGGTTGACCTTTATAGAGTTACAGAGATGAATGGGCCTGTTCTCCACCTCAAGCATGAGCCATCGCTTATACTAAGCACACGGAGCCCTGATGGGACCAGAGCTAAGCTCAAACTCCACCACTGCTCCTTTGCCTTGTGGCTTGTGTTTTTCATACACTCCCTGTGCTCGAAATTTGGAGCTCTCGCATTTTGAGAGCCCTCATCCTGCTAGTAAACGGATATATCGCCCACTGTTGGGTCATTGATCCACAGAGGCCTTCTTCCTCCAGGAGGCCCACACAGTGTCCTGTTCTACTGGGTAGAGCTCTTCTGACTGCTGTACCCCCAGTGCCTAGAACAGTGACAACATCTCATTGGTGCTGATTAAACACTTCTTGAGTGAATGAATGAACTGGCATAATGTAATGGTGGAGGGGTCAGTCTCTGAAGTCAGAACAGAACTGCAGCCCAAGTTCTGCCAGTTTGACCTTGGGAAAGATAACTTCCCTTGGCCTTGGTTTTCTTGTCTATAAAATAATAGTATCATAAAAAGAGTAATGTGTGAATTAAAAAAAATAATGCATGCACTGAGCCAGTGCATGACCCCCGTAAGTCCTCAGTAAGATGTTAGTTATTATCATTTTGTATATCAACTCCAGGCAACTGGTCTAGATTGCTGGGGGTGCTGAATTGAGGATTCTGTGGTCTCAACCCAACTCGATGGAAAACAGTACTCTAAGGCCTGCTATGAGTGAAGATAGGAGAAATGGGAGCTTACTTACAGGGGATTTGCCTTCTCTGGTTTGGCCATGAAAATGGCCAACCCTGAACCATCTTGGAATACTCTTCAGGGAGAAGTACATTGTGTACATATGGCAAATTGCTTTTATCAGCCATGCAGGTGTAAGAAAAAAGCTTAAGGCTTCAGTGGGGACTGCCCCCCACAGTAAAGGCAAGGATGGAGAGTAGGCCTGCCTACTAAAATTCCAAAACTATTCAAATAACCCACTGCTTGCCTAGGGTTGGAAGTAGCATTCTTTTTAAAAAGATTTATTTATTGGGCACCTGGGTGGCTCAGATGGTTAAGCGTCTGCCTTCGGCTCAGGTCATGATCTCAGGGTCCTGGGATCGAGTCCCGCATCGGGCTCCCTGCTCCTTGGGAGCCTGCTTCTCCCTCTGCCTCTGTCTGTCTCTAATGAATAAATAAATAAAATCTTAAAAAAAAAAAGATTTATTTATTTATTTGAGAGAGAGAGCATGAGCGGGAGGAGAGGGCTGAGGGAGAGGGAGAGAATCCTCAAGCAGACTCCCCACTGAGCATGGAACCCCACACAGGGTTCAATCCCAGGACCCTGAGATCATGACTTGGGCCGAAATCAGGAGTCAGATGCTCAACAGACTGAGCCACTCAGGTGCCCCAGAAATAGCATTCTTCATAAAAAAAAGCAGACCCTGATGGGAAGTCATTCCCCTATTCTTGAGTCTCTGGTTCTATAAGAAGAATGACTGTCTTTCCATGTGCTTGAGTCTGTCAAATGTCACACACTATATTTCAAACATGTGAGTTGACATCATGTGAGCAATACTGCACTCATTTCCAACCCTATTTGAACTTCAAAGGACATGTCAGCCACATTAGTCCCACCTAAGTATGTGGCACTTTTGATCAACAGGTACCTGATGGCCAAGAAGACTTAAGAGGCCCATGTGTATTTAGAAATGGAGCCAAGAAAGAGAATTTTTGACTAAAGGTAAATGAACCTAAGTCTTGTAAAGTTTGAGTTCAGCTGTAAACACAAAGCACATGAAGTCAGAGAAAGTCTTAAATTCTCTATCTGAAAACGCTCCAATGACATCATCTTGAGCCTGGGAGTGTCTCTGGGGTCTGGAGAAGTGTGAGCCAGGAAGCCTCCATGGAGCAAAAAAAAATGTTCCCCGTCACAAAGTCTCTCCAGAGACTTCTGGCTCTCAACAAAGCACTAGGGTGGACTTAGGCTCTGAAGGGCACTGTGAGGGTAGGAGTATAACCTTTCACTCCCCATTCCCTGAACAAGCTTCACCAAACAACGAACTTGCCTTTGTACATTACTTGAAAAGTACCTAAGGAACACCCTGCTCTCCAGAAATACCTCCTTCTTGGCCTCTCTCGCAAGTCATCTTTTTTTCTTTTAACAGCTTTAGGGCTTGACATTCCTCATGATCAGAGAATTTGGACAGGGTAACTTAGGGAGGCCTTAGCAAACAAGAACACGTGACTCAAGCAAGTGGATGCCATCTGGTCAGTTAGTAAGGCTTGTGGGCAAGGGGCACTCAATAGGGAACCAATTATGAGAGTAGTCTCAGGGCCTAAGGTCCCAGCTGAGGGGTGGGGGCAGGCAGAGACCTCAGAGATCTAATCCTAGGACCTGGCTACCTGAGGCCACCAGGGGCTGGACACAGCAGCAGAAGAGGGAGATTTGAGGGCAAAGAAAACAAATTGTTTATATTTTGCCTGGAGCCATGCTGGGCAGCACTTCTCTCAGAGTCCTACTTTCTCACCAGACAGAAGGGAGACAAAGCTGAAAGATTGCTCACCTCCTTTTCTCTGCACACCTCCCTCCCTTGCCAAATGAATTGGGTACAAAGGGGCCTGTGAATGATTGTGTTTGGCAGAAAGGCTAGGCCCCCTCTTTATGGGCTGCTTACTGATAAAGAATTTATAATAGTCATTCTCTAAATAGAAAGAATTTCATTTTCGCCTCACACCTGGGCAAAACTATGGACAAATATTCTTTATGAATATAGATGTAAAAATCCTCAAAAAATTCAGAATAGGTGAATCCATGGAGACAAAAAGTAGATTAGTGGTTGCCAAGGGCTAGGAAGAGGGAAGAATAAGGAGTGACTGCTTAATGTGTATGGGGTTTCCTTCCGGGGTGATGAAAATGTTCTGGAATTACATAGCAGTGATGATTGCACAACAGTGTGAATGTACTAAATGCTACTGAGTTGGACACACTGAAATGGTTGAAATGGTGAATTTTATGTTATGTGTATTTTACCACAATAATAAAAAATCTTCAACAAAAATATAGTTGACCCTTGAAGAATGCAGGGGTTAGGGGCACCAATCCCCCCATGCAGTCGAAAAATCCACATGTAACTTTTGATTCCCCAAGAATTTAACTACTGCTGACTGAAAGCCTCACCAATAACATAAACAGTCAATTAACACATATTTTGTATGTTATACATATTATATACTATATTCTTACAATAACATAAGCTAGAGAAAAGAAAATGTTATTAAGAAAATCATGAGAGAGGGGTGCCTGGGTGGCTCAGTCAGTTGAGCATCCGACTCTTGGTTTTGGCTCGGGTCATGATCTCAGGGTCGTGGGATGGAGCCCCACGTCGGGCTCTGCACTGGGCATGGAGCCTGCTTTGGATTCATTCTCTCCCTCTCCCTCTGCCCCTCCCCCGCCCTCTCTCTTTCTAAAAAAAAAAAAAAAGGAAAGAAAATCATGAGAGAAAATACATTTACTGTTTATTGAAAAAGATCTACATATAAGTGGACCTATGCATTTCAAGCCCATATTGCTCAAAGGTCAACTGTACCCCAAAATTGAAATCAACAACATATAAAAAGGATTATATACAATGATCAAATGGGATTTTTCCCAGGAATTCATTTCAATATGAAAATCAATCCCTATAATATGCTATAGTAATAGAACAAAGGACAAAAACCACATGTTCATCTCAATAGTTGCAGGACAAGTATTTGACAAAATCCAATATCTTTTCATGATAAAAACACTCAACAAACCAGGAATAGAAAGTAACTTCCTCAGTCCGTCAAAGGGCATCTATGAAAAACTCACAGTTAACATAAAATGTAATGGTATAAAGACTGAAAGCTTTGGGGTGCCTGGGCAGCTCAGTCAGTTAAGCATCTGCCTTTGGCTCAGGTCATGATCCTGGGATCAAGCCACATGTCGGGCTCCCTAGTCAGCAGGGAGTCTGCTTGTCTCTCTCCCTCCGCCCTCCCTCCCCCTTCATGCTCTCTATTGCCCACTCTCTCTCTCTCAAATAAATAAATAAAATCTTTTAGGGGTGCCTGGGTGGCTCAGTTGGTTCAGTGTCTGCCTTTGGCTCAGCTCATAATCCCAGAGTCCTGGGATCGGGTCCCGCATCGGGCTCCCTGCTCAGCGGGGTGTCTGCTTCTCCCTCTGCCTCTGCCCCTGCTCATGTGTGCTCTCTCTCTCTCTCGCAAATAAATAAAACCTTAAAAATAAAATAAAATCTTTCTTCTAAGAAAAAGACTGAAAGCTCTTTCCCTAAGATCAGGAATAATACAAAGATTTCTACTCTCATCACTTCTATTCAACATTGTACCAGAGGTTCTAACCAGGCCAATTAGGCAAGAGAAAGAAATAAAAGGCATCCATATTGGAAAGAAAGAAGTAAAAATATCCCT